TGGCTGTGGCAAACCGCGCTGGGCCGGGGCGTCTGTCACCCCGGGCTGCTGCTGCTGCAGGGCGCGCCCTTTGCAGAGCAAGCGGCGGAGGTGCTCGCGTCTTGAGAGCGCGACCCCAAGCCCAGTGGCCTCTCCACCGCAATGATCGTCTTCCTCGGCAAGCCTGGCGGCGGCAGGCGGCCCATCGGGCCAATGGTCTTCTTGATGAGGCTTCGCGAGGCGCATCCGCAGGAGGTGCTGCGCGCGCTGGGACGCGGAGCGCCAGGTCCGTGAGATCTGAGGATCGAGCGCGGACACCAGCTGCGAAAGAGCCGCCTGCCCTCACAATCTATACCTCGGCCTGGCTCGAGCGCGGGGGTTTGAGGGCCACGCTGTTAATTTCGATCTCGGTAAATTCTACGAGTGGATTGACTACCCTGCACCGCGCTTGACCATTCCACTGCTCGCGCAAACATCCCACCCACCCAACCGCAACTTGGTTCGCAAAATTTCTTAAGACCGTGACGGTGGGTACCAAATGGCACTTGCCGACGACAGCGACAACGACGACGACGACGCCGCCGACAACGACTACGACGAGACCGACGACGTCTCCAACGACAACGACGACGCCGACAACGACGACGACGACGACGACGACGACGACGACGACGACGACGACACCGACGACGACGACGACGCCGACGCCGACGACGACGACGATGACAACGACGACGACGATGACGACGCCGACGACGACGACGACGACGACGACGACGACGACGTCAACGACGCCGACGACGACGACGACGACGGCGGCGACGACGACGACGCCGACGACGACGACGACGACGACGCCGACGCCGACGACGACGACGAAAACGACGACGACGTCGCCAACGAAGGCGACGACGAGGGAGGAGGGAGGACGACGACGGCGACAACGGCGACAACGACGACAACGACGAGGGAGGAGGGAGGGCGACGACGCGAACGACGAAGATGGAGGAAGGACGGCGACGCCGACGACGGCAACGACGAGGGAGGAGGGAAGACGACGACGACGACAACGACGACGACGACGACGACGGCGACGAAATAGGAGGGGCGACGACGAGACGCCGACGACGGACGACGACGACGACGAGGGAGGAGGAGGAAGGACGACCACGGCGACAACGACGACGGAAACGACCACGACGCCAAAGAGGACGACGACGACGAACACGAGGAAAGACAGGACGACGTAGGCGACGACGACGACGACGACGACGCGGGAGGAGGGAGGACGGCGACGACGACGACGACGACGACGACGACGCAAGAGC